AATAAATAAATAAAAATAAATAAACATTTAAAAAATTTAAAAGAAAAAAATAAATTCAAATAAGATCAAATAGAAACAGACAATTCTTGTCTTACACCTTAAAATGAAAACAGTAACAGATGATAAAGTCCCATATTAACATCATTATGGTGAATAATAGACATGAATATTAGAGACATTTCTATCAAAGCTTTAGATTTTGACCACATATTGATATATTTTATTTCAAGTGAACATAGTGCTTAAAACTGTAATAGTATTTGCTTTCCAGCAATAAGTATGATAAGTATGATAAGTACATACATACTTATGGTAAGTACATAACATAAGTATGTTATCAGCATGTTTCTTTTATACTGCAAGAGTACTTCCTATATTTAAAAAAGCCACAACATAAATATTCTTTTATTTGGGGGGAGGGATGTTGTGTGGGGGGGTAGTATTCCAAAAAGGATGGCTGAATTTTTTTGTCAGTGATGAGTTAAGAATTTGGGATTCGGTTTAGTGATTGATTTAATGATTAGAATTTCAAAGGAAAGCTTTTAGTGTATTAATACCTAGGTATTCACAGAGTTGGAAAGCAAAATGAATATATCTTTTTATTCAGAATGTTAGTGTATATGGCAACTATGAAATTGTTTAAATGAGAGATATTTTTATACACAAAGGTGCTTTTCTGCCTAAGTCTTAAATTACTATTAATTAAGCATTATATAATATAATAGATAATTATAGTGTTTTAATGTCGATGCCAGTGGATTTGCTACTCTTTCTAAATGGCTCTTGTTGGCTAATAGTCTTCAGGGGATCATTTATGTAGCCATTGTGGTTCTAAAAATATCCCTAAATGCCATGGGACAGCCTTTTTTGAAACATGGCTGTTATAAAATGCATTTTTATCTGAAGTGTGTCCTTTTGATTATATCATTCATTTACTTTCATGTGCAGCAAAAGATACCAATGCTGAAAAAGAAGGGAAAGATCTTTATACATAAAAAAAATTTCATAACAATATGTTATGTAGGGAAAGATGTGAATCAAGGATATTGAGAAACTGTTGTATTCATTAGGATTTTTAGCTATTTAGTAGGATTTTAACCAGAGATGTTTTCATGTAGCCTCATTGTTTTTATTTTAATTAATATTTCTATGGCAAGGAGATAATTAGGTAATGCTGTTGAATATTAAATATAGCAGAAGCTTAGGGGAAAGCATTTCTGGGTCAAAGCCCTTAACAAAATATTGTCATGTGTGAGCTGATTAGTTGAATTGAATGCCAAATGGTTTTGCCACCATACAACCAGAATCTTAGAGTCACTCAGTTCATTATCTAAGGCTGTTCCAGAATGGAATGATTGGTTATGTCAAAGTTTAATGGCATTCATTCTAATTTCAGTTGCTAATGGAGTAAATTTTGATTAGAGAGTAGTTCCAGCCTCCTTAAATTAGCTAAGTGTAAGAACATCCCAGAGAGACTGAACCTGCATTTTGAATGCAGAGTGTATGAGGTTCTCAGGGCCTCACCCAGTGCTTTCTGTATATTGTTCGCTCTGATCTATAAGGGCCCACAGAGAACCCTAAAATAGATTCTAGGCTACTCTGTGATTCTTGCTGCCTGTATCTAACATTGTATGCAAAAAAGACTCCCATTTCTAATTAGACCAGAGACATTGAGGATTTTCATCAACTACATTTAGTACAAAGCAGTGTTAGACTTTGGGAACATCCCTGTTCAATAGTGTCCCAGAGTGATACGATAGTTCTCAAGTTGTATTTCAAAATATCCTAGGGTTCAGACATTATGCCATTAAACTATTTTGTTTCAGTTTGTTTATTTTTAAGAGAGAGAGCACAAGCAGGGGAGAGGCCAAGAGAGAGGGAGAGAATCCCAAGCAGACTCCATATTGTCTGTACAAAGCCAGACACAGGGCTCGAACTCACAAACCATGAGATCATGACCTGAGCTTGAAATCAAGTGAGACACTTAACTGACTAAGCCACCCAGACGCCCCTATTGAAACTATTTTAAAAACTGTGATGAAGGACGCAGAGTTTCAAAAGTATATTTCAAACTTTCCATTAGGATAACCAAGCAATGAACTTACGCTGCCAGATTAACTAGTTTTGGGGCAGGTCTTAGAGTAAACCTTCTCCCGCCTTTGTTGTGCACTCGTAGATGCACGTGTAGAGATGGAATCTCTTCTGTGAATTTGGAAATTACATTGAAAGTCAGAGTTTGCCAGTGACTTTTGTAAGCAGGCGCTCTAGTGGAGAGCTCCTGGCTCTTCTGTGAATATAGGATGTGTGTGTGCGCTCACACTAAATCGTCCAACCAGCCACATTGCCACAGTTGCCTGTAAAGCTCTATACTGGGCTGTTCTTTCCTCTTACACACTTACAGTGTATAGATCTTAATTTAGGCCTACTGAGGCCCAGACACATCTGTTTGAGAACTTACTTTTACAAGAAATAGTAAGTTGGAACAGTGACTGTTAACATACTGCAGTGTGATACAACATTATAAGTGTAGGCTTATTTTACTGTATAGGCGCCATTTGTCAAACTCATTTTTTAATAAAGAATAGTGTTACTTAGTATAAGTAAATAAATATCTTTGAAAAAAACCTTTCTTAATACTTTTCCTTAACATCTATGGTTCATTTCACTTAAGGGCATTTTGCAATTAGAAAGCAAGCTTGTTTTTTGTTTTTTTTTTTTTTTAAACATTACCATTTGCCACTTATTTGTGTAAATCAGGATTATCTTGATGTTCTGCAACCAAACAAAACAGAATTAGTGAAGCAGGGACAACTGATATAAGACTGTAGATGTCATTTACTACCTCTTTATAGCAGAGTTTTGTGTTCGTAAACTTTGTTGTTTCACATGGATCAACTTTTACAGTAAATGTTATTGGTTATTTATAAAAATTCTGGAATTTTTCCAGTCTTCAACATAGAGCTATAGGGCTCTATACTGGGCAATTCTTTCTACTTACATACTTAGAGTAGCAGTTAGAGAGCTTAAATGCTATTGAGTATACAGGCTCATTAGTCTCACAACTTAATGCTATTTCAATTATCTAGAAATTTGATGGCCAGAATGTAACGGACATGAAAATGAAATCATATAGTAAAATGAATTTTAAGTTAAGGAGAGTGGATAAAGACTGTTATGGCCAGAGCCCTACTTTGCATTCTACATGTAATCCTTTTTCTATCAATTTGGAAGTGATATTGGGGGATGAGAGTTTGCCTGTTTAGGTATTCCATATGACATGTAAGCTGCACTTTTCTTAGAACACTCATGGCCAAGAGGCAAGAGGGAAAAACAAATCAAACTTGTTTTTGTTGGTTGAGGAGGTAGGAAAGGGATTGGGAAGGAGCATATTGTGATACATTATACCTGTTCCCCATTTTTAGTGAGACTTAGCTCTGTCTCTCTCTCCATAGCAGTAACAACATCAGCTGCCACTTTCCCAACTTCTTACAAATGCCTTTGAAAGAGAAAGGTGAATGGTCTTGGAACCTGATCTGTGTTCTCTAAGTTTATTATCCTGCCTTATTATCCATTGTTCTTGCCCTAGACTTAGGTAATAGAAAGCCTTAATTTATTAGAACATGCAGGCTTCATTTCCTGTAGGATTGGAGTATATACCCCAGAAATATTGTAAAATTTATTTTTCAAAAGACTTTATTATGTATTGGTTTTCCATAATATCTTTACCCACAGAAGTAAATGATGTTTTAGGGAGTAAAAAAAAAGATGACAAAAGTATGTTTAGAGAGCCTTGCAAAAAAAAAAAAAATACCTCATAGCTTGAGGTATTCTGTGTAAGGAGTTTTAAAAATCTTAACTTGAATAAATGATGTATTTTGTGGCTAAAATCCTCCTATCCTAACCCCTCCCCCACCCACCACCATGTATCATGTTTCTGCCACACACTGTTTTAGAGGCTAGAGAAGCAGTTGTCCCTCTTACCACTGGTTCGCTTACCTTGTGTTTGTTTTTCTTGCTTCGCAGAGACCCTCCTTGATGACTTCCTTCTCACGTACACGGTCTTCATGACAACTGATGACCTGTGCCAGGCGCTACTAAGGCAATATCCTTCATTAACTTCAGGATGCTGCGTTGGCTTCCCTTCAGACTGATGTCTCGCATTAGTAATTAACTGCCTTTCCTAATTTCCTCAGCCCCTCTGTAGAGTGTGGATATGTTAAATATTAATGTAATGATATCCAAGGTAAAAGACGACACGAGACAGAATTGACAGGGGAAGCTGGAAAGCAGGGCTGCTGTTTTCACCTTCTAGGTCATGGGTAAATTGTACTGTTTGTATTATGTTTTCTTCCAACATAGGTCGCAAGACTTTAGAGAACTGGAGGTAACTTAAGCATAGTGGGTGTACCCCAGAGTCAAGAGGCTGAGTAGATTGGCAGTAAGTGAACTTGTGAGTTCGTGCCAGAGGTTCGTGCCAGTGGTTAGTGCCAGAGGACTTGTGCAAGAGAACGTACATACATGATGGCACGGTTCTCCACAAGTCCGGGATCAGACCAGCTGTCCCCCATGTGGGAGGTCTAAACTACGCCCTGGAATCAACTGCCGTCTCTTCAGAGCTTTGTGAAGACATGTGCTGTTAGAATGATGGATGGGATTAGAAGGTTAATGACCAGTTAAGGAAGCTTTATGATTTGATGCATTAACTAGGAGGGATGCAACAGAGGAAAGGCCAAAAAGCCAAGCCAAGTAAATTTACTCAAGAGTTTCCACACAGGCCTCTTGACTCACAATGTTCCAGGAAGGTGCTTCAGAAGCATTTAAGAAGCCTAGTAACTGTCAGATTTTTACCAAACTAAACTGAAGATTCCACTTGAGCTCATGTGAACATTTTCGGAAAGACAGATTTTGTGTGTGTGTGTGTGTATGTGTGTGTGTGTGTGTGTGTGTGTATACCTAGGTTTTATTGAGCCCTCAATGGTAATGGTCTTGGCAATATTCTTTTCCTGTTAAATAATTGTTCTGTTTCTCCCCTACTTTACAGCCTTTTCCTGCTTAAGAGAATACCTTCAAACTCCATAAAGGGCATAATTGAAATAAAATCTCTCTTAATGATACGTTAACTAGAAATGGTGATTCGTTTTTAGTGCTTTGCTATCATAAGAGCACACAAAGCTACAGATCTTGTGAAACTTTATAGAACTAGTTCGTAAAACTGATCTTGAAAAATTAGCAGTTTTGAATTTGGAAAATGTCTAAACCAGATTTCTTCCACAGCTCTCAAGTGGGTGTTACTAAGAAATTCTGTAATAATTTCAGAATTACAGTTTAAAAGTGTTTTAGGGGCACCTGGGTGGCTCAGTCAGTTGAGCATCTGACTTCAGCCCAGGTCATGATCTCGTGGTTCATGAGTTTGAGCCCCACATCAGGCTCACAGCTGTTTAGCGCACAGCTTTGGGTTCTCTGTCCTCCTCTCTCTGCCCCTTCCCTGCTTGCCCTCTTTCAAAAATAAATAAACACTAAAAAAATTATTAAAAGTGTTTTAGGAAAATATCAATGAGCTAGTTTCTTTTACATTTTAATGCTAACATTTTCCCAAAAGTATTACCATCTATTAAACAACATAGTTTGTTTTATAGCAAATAAATGCCTTCAAATCATTGTTTTTAAATATGATCCTAATATAATTTGTGATTGTTACTAAGTAATATAATGCATCATAAAATTTCTCTGAAGAATCTCTAAAACTTTACCATAAGCATGTTTTGAGTCTTTGACAGACATTTTTTGAGAGAGAGAGACTGTGTGCACCAGGGAGTGGCAGAAGGAGAGGGAAAGAGAATCTTAAGCAGGCTCCATACTCAGCAAGGAGCCCGATGCAGGGATCGATCTCACGACCATGAGATCATGACCTGAGCCCAAATCAAGAGTCGGACACGTGACCAGCTGAGCTACCCAGAGGTCACTAAGACATTGTTTATGAAACTTTAGTTCAGATTCTTAGCAGTCTTGTTACTAATTATCAAAACTTATGAAATCCATAATATTTTTAAGTCAGGAGTCTTCCTACATGACTATTTCAATATACTTGCAGACTCTGCTTTTTGTGAAATAATACGAACCACAAACAAAAGTATGGCATCCATATTTAATTTAAGAGATTTTTTGGTACACCTTAGTGAAGAATACCTTATATATCCTCCTATCACCTTCTAAGAGTGGTCTGAATTATTTTTTGTTTGTCCCCCATGTTTTTTGACTATTATTTACAGATTAGAGCCATTTATACTGTTTTTGGATATCTTAGATGGGTACTTTTACAGTGATAAAATTTTATACTTTTCAGGTTTTATCATCATCAAGAGCATTATGTGAGCTCACAGGTTTAGTCTAGCTAATGGTCAGTGCATTACACTGAAAGTAAATCTTACCAGTACCTTCCCACTATTCCCCTCCTCCAGCTACATTTATAAATCAATATAATCTAGCATGGGAAAAATGTGTAAGAGTAATGTACCCTGATACAGAAAACAGAATAATCCAAATGTTAAATTTAATCAGTAAACATTTTTAAAAATATATCTTGGGGCATCTGGGTGGCTCAGTCAGTTAAGTGTCTGACTTGGGGTTAGGTCATGATCTTTTTTTTTTTTTTTTTCAACTTTTTTTTTTGTTTGTTTGTTTTGTTTTTTATTTATTTTTGGGACAGAGAGAGACAGAGCATGAACGGGGGAGGGGCAGAGAGAGAGGGAGGCACAGAATCGGAAACAGGTTCCAGGCTCCGAGCCATCAGCCCAGAGCCTGACGCGGGGCTCGAACTCACGGACCGCGAGATCGTGACCTGGCTGAAGTCGGACGCTTAACCGACTGCGCCACCCAGGCGCCCTAGGTCATGATCTTATGATTTGTGGTTTCGAGTCCTGTTTCGGGCTCTCAGTAGAGTCTGCTTCAGCTCCTCTGTCACCTCTCTCTCTGCCTTTCCCCTGCTTGTTCTCTTTCTGTGAAAAATAAATAAGCATTAAAAAAAAATCTATCTATGTCTATATCTAGACAGATATAGATAGATATAGATATAGATATAGATATATCTTGCAGAAAGAACAAGATCAAGCAAATAAGTAGTAGTAACTGTGAATGGAGAGGAGCAGCTGAACTGTCAGTCCCTGAACTTGCTTTGTCCTCCAAGTCCATAATTGTAGAACATATATACAGTGGTACTAAAAAGCTCATCTCTCGACTACACATGCTGACCTAAAAGAAAGAAGCTGTTAGTACTTCCTAATTTTCTAGGTTTTCTTTATATTAGTCAGGCCATGATAGTCACAGTAAAAGAAGAACCTGATATCTGTACAAGTGAAAATAATGAAGGATATAAATCTTTATATTTTGCCTTTTTAGAGAAAAACCAGGAAAAAAATAGAAGCTTTAACAGGTTCTTTGTGTGTTTGCCTGAGTTTATTTCACAGATAGAAATAAAAAAAAAAAAAATCAAATGTCCTTAATGTGTTTTTGCAGACTTGGGAGACAGTGACTGAAATATGTTTTAAAATATTTACAAAGGCTGAAATAGATATTTCTATTTTGCAATTATGTATCAGCATTAAAGAGTGTAGATTCCTGTCCAGCAACCCCAAAGCCTATCTGTCCTTGGAATCATAGCATTTCCTATTCTGATTTAACTTTCCATTGTATTCAAGATAGTCATAAATGACCATTTGGAGAACAAAAACACTAGATTGGTTTGGAAAATGCGAAGCTTCTGTCTCATTCCTGTGGCTTAAACACGTTGCTTTTGAGGTTGTTCTTTTTATACAATTTTAACAGCATAGTTAACACATGGTCACTGTATACAAATTAGGAAATATTTATGAGTATAATAAAAATTAAGGTATACTCTGATATCTCATTACCTTGAGAAGCCACTGTTAACTTTCAATATATATTATTCCAGGTAATGAAAATTTTCATATAAATAAGCATAGTTAACAGAAATGGATCATCCCATCATATTTTCTCACTTGCTTTCGTACTCAACAATACATGGTGTGTTTTTTGTTTTTTAATTTTTTTAAATTTATTTTGAGAGAGAGACAGAGCAAGTGGGGGAGGGGCAGAGAGAGAAGGAGAGAGAGAATCCCAAGCAGGCTTTACACTGTCAGTGCAGAACCTGATGCCAGGTTTGAACTCGCGAACAGTGAGATCATGACCTCAGCTGAAACTGAGTCGGACGCTTAACTGACTGAGCCACCCAAGCGCCCAACAATACATTGTGAACATCCACTGTCAGTAAATGCACTATAAGGTCATCAGTTTTATGGCTGTAGAATAGCCTATTAATGCATATGTGATAATTTAGTTAACTATCCACAGTGTTTGAAGCATTTACTTTGTTCCTGTTGTACTTTTTTTCATTCCAGTGAAAATGAAAATCAGCAGTCCTTTTTAATTGTGTCTGCACTTTTATCCAGTCCCTTTTTTCCAAGAAAATTCCTGGGGTTGGGCATTTAAATCATATCACATATTATGCTCCAGAACTTTGTGCTCATTTGGGACTACTTGAGAAGTAACTGGTTTTATAAATTGTGGATTTCTGAAGATCAGAGGATACCTGGCCTAGTTCTGATCCAACTTTTATGGCGAGTGTCTACCTATGTAGTGGCACCAGATCTCTTGGAGCCACCCTTGAAATTCATTGGTCTCTCTCTCTCTCTGCCCCAACCCACTCGCATTCTGTCTTTGTCTCTCTCAAAAATAAATAAACATTAAAAAAAATTTTTTTTTTTAAAAAGGGGGCACCTGGGTGGCGCAGTCGGTTAAGCGTCTGACTTCAGCTCAGGTCACGATCTCGCGGTCCGTGAGTTCCAGCCCCGCGTTAGGCTCT